TAAAATTACACAAAATGTCCCATGAGAGCTATTTAAAATTTTCACTGTATATAGTAAGAGTACATACTGTTAACCAATGAACATGTCATGTTCAGTCCTCTCTTTATCTCAACACACACTCAGATCAATGTCATCTGAATTAAAGAAGTTTAGGGTGTCCATCGCTGTAACTCTTCTGCTGGACGTGCAGTGATAACATGTAAAGAGTTAATATCCAGACTTGGGTCTCCGTCATTTTATGTCACAAATATATCAGACATGGAGCTTCTGTAGTTTTCTGCTGATCTCTGGGATGTTTTCTTTCACATGCATATCTTCCACCTCCTGTCTCACATTCTTGCGTTTCTGCTCATAAAAACGCTTCGACTCTTTAAAATGTCTGTCCTTCATTTTCATTTGCTCCTCTAGCTTTTTAATTTCCTGGTCTTTTGTCTGGCCGGATTTTTTTAGTTGTTCAATGTCCTTTTCCAGTTTTTTCTTTTTTTCCTTAAATGAGTCTGTTAGATCTTCTATTTTCTTATTGCATTTTTCTTTCAGATGCTTTTCTTTCTTCTTCAGCATTTTTTCCACAAGCTGAAACATGTCACTGGTGTAATATTGATCTCCATTCTTGCTCAACATGTCATCAACCTTATCCAGGAACTCCAAAACCTGTTTGCGATTATCGATTTCTTTGTTGTCGAACACATGATACCGTCCGCCATATGATTCTACGAGTTTGTTTAGTTCAGGTCCTGCTACATCCAGAATTTGATCGATGGGTTCGGTCAGTTCATCACCGTGTGTGAAGAGGATGAGTGTGTGTTTATCTGCTTCTTCTCCGAATACAGTTCTGATCTTCTCCACTGAAAGTCTCTCTTCTTGAGTGAACGGGCCGACCTGAATGACCAGGATGATGGCGTGAGGTCCAGGTGCCGTCATGTTTATACACTTACTGATCTCTTTCATGAATTCTCTTTCTGAGAGTGACGTATCAAAGATCCCTGGACAATCAACCAGCTCCAGCTGATGGTCAGCCACTTCTCCAGTCTCCTTCCAGCACTCTTTGGTCACAGATGAAGCTTTTCTGGCGGCTCTGAAGGCTTTTCTGCCCAGGATTGTGTTTCCAGACGAGCTTTTCCCTGCTCCAGTCCTTCCCACCAACACCATCCTTCTCAAAGACACTGAAGAATACAGTAAACAAGAGCTTTATATGCAGAATGCAATCAATTTTAAAAGAAATATGATTTATGTGAATAAATAAATAAATTCATTCTAAAATAAATGAATGAAAATCACCAGATAATGTTTATTAAATACAGATGAATGGAGACAGTGGGTGATGTGGGCAGATACTTACTATTTGGATGTTTTAAATCAAAACTATCACTTCTTTTCTTTGTGTGAACTTCACCTGGACAGAGAAAAACAAACATCACTCTGTAAGAATACGAGATCACAGTAAGATCCCTGATGTTAAATTAACACCGCTCAGTGTTTATATGGGAACTACCAGCAGGGTGTTAAAAGTAACACTGACACTGATGTCAACATTAGTATCGTATTCTTGATAATAGACTTATTTGTACCAATTGCTCTTGGCTTTGTCCCTCTCTTGTGTAGCAATCTCTCTCTTTCTCTCTCTCATGTTTTTTTTTTGTTTGTTTTTGTGTTAGATAATATATGTTTATTTTATTTTATCTTGGTGTTTTTTCTTTTTTTTTGTATATGTGTGATGCTCTCTCTGTTTTTAGGGTGACTGTGTAACATTCTGTCAAGGGTCTACGGATGAAAAATAGCCTCATTGGGCTAATTCTGGCACATTTACACTTGTTTATTAATGTGCATTGACCCTGTAAATAAAATAAATAAATAAATAAAAGATACAGTGTTAGAGTTAATGAGATAAATAAGTGATTAATTGAGTGATAATTGAGCATTGAAGACACCTGATGATAACAAGCAGAATCACTGAAGAAACACAAGTACTACAACTGACCCTGACCGCTCCTTCTTGCCAGATCTGGGCCACAAGGAAACAAACCACAACTGAACCTTATCTGAGCTACAAAATCTATGTATATTAAATATAGAGTCTTCTTAAAAAAAAAAAAAAAAAAACACAGTTTGTTCATACTTAAGCCATTGAGAATTTGCTATGAATATTACGAAAGTTGTAATGCTGCACTTTAAAACGATACCAAACTTGTGCCGAGGGGAAGCGCCAGTCATTGAGAAGCAAAACAGCATTTTTCTTAGAGAAAGGAAATGTACTTCTCTTAGAAAACACACAAATAAAAATACTTTTAGATGTTTAATTGCGATGTGGATCATTGGGATTGCTAGACGAGAGCTTAATGAACTCATTTTTGTAAAAAACCTCAAATTCTACCAAGATTTAATTTTTTCACTTGTTTTGCTTGTAGCTTGTAATTATCCTGTGCACATTCGGACTCATTTTGCCAGCACAGGTCACATATCTTGTTGTACTATTCATATTTTATTTAAATGTAAAACTCACTGTCTAGAGGCTGACGTTTGCTTCCTCTTGTGTCGAATAATCCTGAATTTCCCTGATCTTCACCTGTTACAAAAAAAAAAAGTATTATCATTAATGATGAAATATTGAATTGAAATATCTTATTGTGGGATTTTTAAGGTATTAAATCTCTTAATAAAATATTTTGATTTTAAATTCACAAACACTGCATTATTTTAAATAACTTGAACAGAAGTGAACTGACTCACCAAGTTGTGTGAATAATCCTCTTGATTCGGCCATCTACACACAATTGTCACTTTTGTAGTGAAGCCCTTCAGACATTAATAAACAAGCTGTTAAAGAGACCTACGCATTACTGTGATTGTGAAGTTGTGTTGAATCAAAAGTTGTGCTCTCATAACAACTCAGAAACTGGTTGTACTTGATATTTGGCATTCATTCCTTGCAACTCCCTGTCATATGATCCTATCAGTGTATGAGATCTCTGAACGGCTTGGTAAAATGCACTGTAAAAAAAAAAAAAAATCTTTAAAAAATTGGTCAGACTATCAGCTACAGCTGCCAAAATAACAAAAACTGTAAAATAAAGTAAAATATATCATAATTTAAATAAAAGTGCAACTTTTTTTACAGAAATGTTCCTTAAATGTTCTACAGAAAACGCTGTACTAATTCAGGAAATACCTGTAAAATAACAATCAAACACCTTTAAAAAACATAAAAACAGTCAAATGACTGTCAGCAATGGCTGCTATATAAAAAACAGAAAATCAGTGTAAAATATCCTAATTTGAATAAAATTTAAAACACTTTTATAGATATCTTCATTAAACGTGTTAACATAAACAGAGTTATTTCGCATATATTTCCTTAATCTTTGCTAACAAACAAATTCACTGTTAAAAATTGAACAATCTACATTGTTAAAAGCGCTTTATAAATGAAGATGACTTGTATTGACTTAAATTAAAGGTCATTCTAGTCCATTATAGCAAATACTCTTCCCTAGTTGAATGTTTTGTGAATGTATAGAGTCCATTACATCTAGAACATTTTGAGCACATCAATGATAGGAATATAGGCAAAATGTCCAATCACATGACCGTTAACATTCCTTATAGAATGCTGCGCAGGTTCTATCATGTCCAAATAAGATTGAACAAATGTTCAGAGTGTATTACAGGTCAGCAAAAAAAGTCAATTAGCCTATTTTAAATACCCTAAAGTTCATGAATTTTAAAACCATTTTGCTTTAGATGGTAAGAAAACAAGGAATCATTTTTTTCTGTGAATAAAGCAAAAATGTTTTTTGTTTGGCAGTTGTCATTTGACCCTTTTTAACGATTTTTGAAGGTATTTGATCATAATAATGATGTGAAATAACAGTTTACTTAATGTATGATGTTTTACTTTAATGTTACAGTTTTTTAGGCTGCCGCTCATTTAACCGTTTTATCATTTCACTTTTTTGCTACTGTTTAATTACAGATTATATTTGTAATTTTACATGCATTTTTATGTAATATAAGAAAACAGGAAAACAAAAATTGTATGAAAATACAATGTTCTGTATAAAAAATGTGACTGGAATTTGTCATTAATGTCACAATACCTGCATTTTTATTTTACAAATATTATTTGTAATTTGACAGTGTTTTGAGTACAATTTAAAATGAAAGAAAATTATCGTCAAAAAATCACTGTTATTTTCAGTGAAATTTGGATATTTTTTTTCAGTGTACATGTAACTCAAATCTGATGAGAGTGTAGGCTATATTATTTTTTAAAAGCATTTTTCATTTATTTGTGTAAATCTTTTTAGGAAAAATGCAGTGCAGGACATAGTCCATTGTCCACGCACAAGTCACACTCCAGTCCAGTGGGTGGCGGTAAAACACATCCGTTTGTTTACAACCACCATTAAACCTCGGAGGAAGAAGTTTAGTTTTCAGCGTGGGCTCTTCTGTTATGTGGTGCTGACTTAATACAAACTGTTACAAAGATAGAACGATAGTCAATGAATGCCTGTAATATTCCCATCCTCATAGACGTGACTAGGTTCTGAATCAAGCAGGAATATCTGGAGGAGTATCAACTGAACTGAGATCTGCTGCTGTGAAGATGGTGTTTGTTAAAGAGGAGAGTGAGGAGGACATGAGTGAACCAGAACCCTGGAGAATAAAACACGAGGAACAAGGAGGTTGGTGATTCTTCATTCATCTTTAAAGGGGTCCCATATGCCCATTTACAAAGTTTTGTTTTTTGGGGTGTACGAATGTGTTTTCAAGCCTTCATTCACGGGCTATGCAAGCACTTCTAGGACGATTTCAGTGTTTTTTCTTCTTTTTCCCCCTAATGTTTATGTTATATACTATTTAATCGTGATTATTTAAACTAATTAAATCCAAACAGTAATCGACACATTTTTTGCTTATATACCGTGGGCGTGAATTATTTAAATAAGAAATATTATGACTTCATAAAGCCGGGAAAATCGAGTCGTAGTCCAAACTGATTCGTTGTAGTTCTTTTAAAGGTTGTGCCTTTTAAGGGAACTTGTAACGTTGCAGATATTTTTTTATGCCCAAACAGCAACATTACAGACTGACTAAAGTTGAAAAAGCATAAAGGACCCATTCTGGTGTTTAAGCTAACAAATAAACAGGGTGTGCATCCTTTAAAGTCTCCCTTAATGTAAAAACAAGTCATTAATTACAATTAAAATGTCTTAAATCAACGTTTTAAATATATTATCTTTGTTTTTACATGAGTGTGACTCAAATATGGGATGATTGATTATAGTATTAAAATGAATAACACGTGCAAACACAATTATCAATGAACTTGATAGATGTTGCAGAAATGTTTTATCCATGCCTTTCAACTTGTGTGCGCTGTGCGCAAAATTCAAAATTGAATGAATGTGTAGCAATTTGTAGATAGAGACATATTTGTTCATACAAAAGCTCAATTTTGTATTAATGCAGGCCAGAATTTGTGCGTGCAACAAGTAAGAACAAGTAAAAATGGATGACAAATGGGGGTGAGTAAATTATCAGCAACAGTTTTTTCAGAAGAGAACTACTCCTTTAAGCGTCTTAAATGTGGAAAAACGCTTGATTATGCGTCTGTTGTCTGTTTATAGCAGAATACTGCCATCTAGTGGTAGCAGGTTTTCTCAGACAGTGTGTGTGGATCTTTCAAAATGAAATTCTGAAATGAAATTTCTTTCTTCTTTCTTTTCAATTCTTTCAAAATGAAATTCTCAAAATCCAAATGAATCAAATAGGATTGATTCAGAAACGAGTCAATGAATGCACACGTGTCACCTCATCCACACATTCTGGCCTGCATTAATACAAAATTGAACTTTTCTATTAAGAAATATGTCTCTATTTGTTTAAAATGCAGCACATTCATGTAATTCTGTATTTTGCACACACAAGTTTTTTTTAAAATTAATATTAAGACAATATTAATGATAATAACTAAAGTTAATTTCATCTACACTTTAAATTAAGCTTAATGATTTATTGCTAACAGATTTTTTTTTTTTTTTTGTAGAACTGTGAGTTCTCATTTGAGGGGATGCTGCCATCAAATTTTAGTCTGGTGCCCTGTGAACTTAAAATAAAACACCATATCATAATATTTGTATGTTAAGTCTATTTAATATTAAAGAATTTGTCAGTATTCCGGTTATTTACGGTATTTTAGTTATATACGGTTATACAGCGCTCCTAGTAAAAAAAGTTAGTCTGGAGCCCTGAAATTTAGTGTTATGAATGTTTTTTAAATGTCAATCCCAATTCATCGTTTTCGTTTTCTACATGTTTACTAAAATCACCAACAATTAGGACTTTATCTGCAGCCAGTACTAACTCTGATAGAAAATCAGCAAATTCTTTGATAAAGTCTGTATGGCGCCTGGTAGTATCAAGCACAAAATCTCAAACGTCATTTATCATTTACACTATATATTTTTACATTAAGCACCAACACTAAAATTTAAACTAGATTTCTTAGTAATGCTGAAAATATTACTATGAATTACAGCAACACCTCCCCCTTTACCTTTCAATTGAGGTTCATATTTATAACTGTAATCTTGTGGGGTTGACTCATTCAGTGTAATTGTTTGTTTTAGCCAGGTTTCTGTCAAAAACAGCACATCTAGGTTATCTATAATCTTATTATTAAAAATAAGTGCTTTTGAAGTAAGGGATACTGAATAAATATTGATATTTGGATATCGAATATTGATATTGGATCGAATATTCAGCAACCCAAGCTTTATCATTTGCTCATTTGTATTATATCTGTTTTTATTTGTTGAACATCAATTAAATGTTTACCCTTAGATGGGTTTGAATTTTTTTAATGTCCTAATTCGGTGAACAGACACAGTCTCTATGATGATATCTAGGTGAAAGAGTCTCTACGTGACGGGATTTATCTGACCTCAGTGATGTGAGACAGCTGGCAGACGGTCGGTTTAGCCAGTCTGTCTGTTTCCTGACCTGAGCCCCAGATTGTCATGTTTGAACTCGAAGACTATGTGCCATATTACTATGAATTCTATATATTTTTGCGGACACCACTATGATGCACTATAAAATGCAATTGCACATGCTTATGATGCCCTAAATTGCTGCTTCACACACTATGATGCCTCAATATGCAGTTGCACACACTAAAATGCTGTTTCACACGCCTATGATGCCCCAAAATGCTGTTGCACACCCTAAAATGCTGTTGCACACCCTAAAATGCTGTTGCACATGCTTATGATGCCCCAAAATGCTGTTGTATACACCCTAAAATGCTGTTGCACACCCTAAAATGCTGTTGCACACCCCAAAATGCTGTTGCACACCCTAAAATGCTGTTGCACATGCTTATGATGCCCCAAAATGCCGTTTCACACCTCAAAATGCTGTTGCACACCCTAAAATGCTGTTGCACATGCTTATGATGCCCCAAAATGCTGTTGCACACCCTAAAATGCTGTTGCACATGCTTATGATGCCCCAAAATGCTGTTGCACACCCTAAAATGCTGTTGCACACCCTAAAATGCTGTTGCACATGCTTATGATGCCCCAAATGCTGTTGCACACCCCAAAATGCTGTTGCACACCCTAAAATGCTGTTGCACATGCTTATGATGCCCCAAAATGCTGTTGTATACACCCTAAAATGCTGTTGCACACCCCAAAATGCTATTGCACACCCTAAAATGCTGTTGCACATGCTTATGATGCCCCAAAATGCTGTTGTACACCCCAAAATGCTGTTGCACACCCTAAAATGCTGTTGCACACCCCAAAATGCTGTTGCACACCCTAAAATGCTGTTGCACACCCCAAAATGCTGTTGTACACCCT